TTTGTCTGATCTTTTATGCTCTGTCATCTTTTTTCTCCCCTATCATTGCTCTGTTCTTCACCTCTGTGTGCCTCAGAGTGTTAACTCGTGGATACAAAGCATCTCTCCATTTCTTGCTTAAGTTTCTGCTTTAGTTCTTTTTAGAGAATCTTTAAAGGTATCTGTAAGGCTGAATAACATCTAATCTCTTAATATAAAGCTTGGTAAACTAGTTAACCTCTTTGCGGAGTCTTATGAAAAACTACCCAGGATGAAGACCTATAAAGATTCAGTGAAAAACTGATGAGAAGTTTGCAAGATGTTATAGCAATATGGCTAAAGAATTAGTTCAATCTACACTTAAAATAAAGGACTAGGGGTATAGTTAGGGTTTCTGAAGCTTCTTATTGGGAAGGCAGGTCCTGAAGACCTTAAGAACATGAAAATGAAAGTAGTTAATTTGGTCCTATAAAAATTAGGAGAAAGCAAAGGGCCTCTGAGGCTGGGTGGGAGAAAGAAATATTGCCCTAATATGATATAAGCTCTTTCTACTAAAGAGACGTGAAGCCCTAAATGGCAGGTCTAGGACAGGTGCACTAGGTGCACTCAGGCCTGGAGAGGTAGAGGACAGTAGAAAGAGATGAGTCCAGGACTCCTAAAGGCTTATGGCTGGGGATTGATCTGACCACAGGTGACTTGCTCTGAGTCCAGATATGATCACCCTACACTTTGTTCCTTTCTAGGACAGATATTAGGCCAACTCAGTCTGCATTGTGAGGACACAGATCTTTGTCTAGAGGCAGTTGTGCCAAATTAGCTTGGCCTAATGGTTACTCAAGACAACCTGAAATTTCAAGGTCTCACAGGGCTCTGCAACCAATGAGAATATCTCACTGCCTTTTAGCTTGATCTGGATGATAGTCATCTTGGTCACTTGCACTTTGGGAGTCTTCATTGAGAAGGGTGTGGCTAACATGACACGGACAATGTTAGGCACATGAATTTCCAAGTGGGATAACAAAAGTTGTTTCATGGAGAGGAAATATGACCTGTGTAATTTCTCTTTCCTTTTTGGATGCCTTCTGAGTTTTAGGCCCTATGTCTGCAGTGGAGTTTTAGTATTCCAGGGCCATCTCAAAGATATAGCGAAGACAAAAGGCATTGCAAACGTCTCCACTAGATCTGGGGAACATGGTGTTTTCTATTATATCTCTCACCAATACTTTAAACCATTTATTTATTTATTTATTTATTTATTTATTTATTTATTTTTGCATATTTTATTCATTTTTTTGCCCCCCTCCCTTCCTCCCTCCCACACATCCCCTCCCTCCCCAGAGTTTTATGTCCATTGGTTGTATTTATATGCATGTATACAAGTCCTTCGGTTGATGTATTATCTCCCCCAGATCCTCCTCCCCTCCCCGCTGAAATTTGACAATCTGCTTGTTGCTTTACTGTCTCTATATCTATCTTTTGGTTCATCAGTTTATAATGATCTTTATTATCCACAAATGAGTCTCACCAATACTTTAAAGAACAATATTTCCTTATTCCATTTATACTGTGACATTATTATTTTATTGGTTCAATTGTTGATTAATTCATTTGATATCAAAATTTATTGGGACCTATTGTGGACGAGGCACTATGCTGTGAACACTGGGAGTTTTATTATTACTTTTATTTATTTTTTCAGTTATTTATTTATTTTTTATTGTTTGAAGCATTACAAATAGTAGTACATATGTCTCCTTTTTTCCCTCCTTGATCTCCCCCCAGCCTCCCCTACACCTCAGCATATGCCTTCACCTGCCCCTCCCCCCAACACTGGGGGTTTTACAGATAAATAAGGCACAAGGAACTTAGCAGATAGTAACCAATAGAATGTACAATTGAAGGAGTAGAGTAGCAAGTTGCAGAAAGTGAACAGAAATCTGCTATTGGGTTTAGAACAGAGATAAATTATTTTGAGTGGGTGGGGATTGCAACTGGCTAGAAGAGAGGAATTTATGGAAAAGGTGATCTTAAATTGCAGCAGTCACCTCACATCCATTAGGATGGCTACTATTAAAAAGCAGAATAAAACACAAAAAATAATGGCTGCAGAGAAATTGGAGCCCTTGGAAATGGGGGAGTCAAATAGTGCAGCCATTATGGAAAACAATATGGCAGTTCTCAAAAAATTAAAAATATAATTTACCTTATCTAGCCATTCCACTTTTGGGTCTATATAGCCACAAAAATAGGTCTCATAGACATATTTGAACATCCATGTTCATAGCAACATTAATCACAAAAGGAAAAGATAGAAGCAACCCAAGTCCATAGCGGGATGAACGGACAAACAAAATGTGGTATGTGCATACATTGGAATATTATTCAGCCTTAAAATGAAAGGAAATTCTGAAATGTATTGCAACATGGAATGACCTTGAGGACATAATACTAAGTGAAATAAGTCAGTCACAAGAAGACAAATATTATGTGATTCCACTTACACGAGTACTTAGTCTAGACAACTGCATAGAGACAGAAAGTACAATGGTGGTTGCCAGGGACTTGTGGGTTGAGGAAATGAAGAAAATGAGGACTTTTTAATGGGTATAGAATTTCAGTTTTGTTAGATGGAAAAGTTATAAAGATTGGTTGTGCTCTAAAAATAATAAATTTTATGTTATCTTAACCACAATTTTAGAAAATGCAGTATTTTATCATGCGGGAGTGGGTGAAAGATACCTGAAATCTTGGAAATTTTGCCAATGCATATACTATTCACTCACTCATTCATTAATTCAATAATCATGTATTAAATACCTGTTATGTGCTGGACCTTGAGCTGCATACCGGGGTTACAATACTTACTAAGATTTATAAAACACTGAATCTGTCAATGTCATGCTTGCTAACCACCCTCTCCACCCCCCAAAGCACTAAGCTTGTATAGTTAAATATTCACAGCTGCTTTCTACTGACTTGAATCATGCATAAGAAATTAGTAAACAAACAGTAAAAAGATTTGAAGTTCTTGGGAATAGGAAGGAGTTGGACAGCTTGGTAATGAAATGTAGAGACACGGGCCAAAGAATATAAACTAGACTTGAAAATGGCAAGTCAGTGCTCTCTAAGGACATTGAAAAATAAAGGACTCCTATTTGAGGCTGCCAACCTAAGAGCTAAGTCATTTAGAATGGGGAAAAATGGCAAAGGCAGTCACACTCAACCCAAGAAACCGGTACTTGGTGAATTTTATGGCAAGGGCAGTTTGAGAACCATCAGTACAAATTTGTGGACAATATTAACAAGTGAGAAGGGCAGAGAAGGGCTATACAATTCGAGCTGAAAGGGAAGACAGGACTTACGAAGGGGAGGGCCAGTGATGGTCACTGTGGTCTGTTATTTGGCTGTGGGCTAGAAGCAGGAAGCATGAGCTTCCTTAACCTAAAGACCCTGGAAGCTCTATCTTTAATTCATTTTATCTCATCCTAGGTTTCTTTCTTTTCTTTTCTTTTCTTTTTTAATTTTATAGGAACCTTTACTCCATCTATTCTGCCAACATCTTTCTATTTCTCTCACTCTTTTTCCTCCCCCCACCCCCTTACATCCTGGAACATTCTATTTATTCATTTAAATATCTATTGAATAACAATTATATAACAGGCACTATGCTGGGCTCTAGACATTATGACCCCAGTTTTCCTATGTCACATTTGGTTGCACATAACAAATCCTGGATTGCTATAATTTCTGCTCCTATACCGCTTAATTCAAAGTTAGTTTCATCTACTCATTCTCTTACCTTTGTCTCTCAGTCTTCAAGGTATCTTCATTGGGGCTGTTCCTTCTACCTGTGCTTTCAACCCCATCTGCTCTACTTTTCCCCTCTGTGTACCCTCAACCATTTCCGTTCTGCTGACCCATTCTTTCAATCTACATGAGACCTTCTCAGGTCTCTTCCATCCTAAGATTCCTTGTTTGTTTTTATATTCTTTAGCAACCACCCTATCTTTCCCTTCCCACTCTCATTGAGTTCTCAAAGGAATGGCCTTCACTCCTTTTCATTTCCTTATATTCCATCCAGTTTTCCACCCACTGGATGGATTTTCACTTGTGACCACACTATCCCCAAAACTTGCTAAGTGTTCTCTTTGTCAAATCCAACTTCCCTCTATCAGTCCTTGTTTTATTGGATTTTCTGTCCCATTTGGTGATATTGATCACTCTCTTCTTCAGTTTTCTACTTCCTTAAAACTTTTTACTCCTCTATTTACTTGGTTCTCACTTTTCTTTCTGGGATATGCTTTCTTCACAAAACCTTTGAAGGTTGATGCAATCATCCATGTTCTGCTTTCTTCTTTCTGCATGTTCATACAGAGGAGTGCTGAATAATCGCTAATATCCTCAAATAATAGTCGAGTTACAAAAGCCGATACCTAGGGTTACATGGTAACAATGGCATCAAATCTGGTTTATATTTCTACACATGTGCTATGTTTGCAGCAGTTCATTGGAGTTGCAGATGTCTCAGCTGTTTGATGCTTCGTCTCTATTTCCTAAAGACCCTTCGTGTGATCTGGAATTGGAATAAGCTTTGGTCTCTAATGGTGCTGAGTTAATTGTGAATCCCTGAAGAAAAAAAAAAAAAAAAAAAAACCCCAATGAATAAGTCTATTAGAAACCAGCTAATTCATTTTGTCATTTTCTGGATAATATATTCCGGTGTAGGCAGCTCGTTTTTTAAACAAGTTTGCAATAGACAATTTCCCCTCAAGGTTAATATAATAGGCAAACACCTTTTGCTGCAGCAGACAGCAAGAGATAAGAAAGATTAGCTTACATTATGATTCATTATTTCAAAATGTCAGAATAAAGTGGATCTGCTGCAGCAACCCGGCTTCTCATACTTAGAGGAGAGAGTACATGTTTTGCTTTTCTAATGTTAATGGATTTACTCTTCTCTCTCTCTCTCTCTCTCTCTCTCTCTCTCTCTCTCTCTCTCTCTCTCTCTCTCTCTCTCACAGGCCAAATTCAGATAATCGGCGCCAGAGTGGCAGAGAGAGATTGACCAGCAGCGGTGACAAGGGCAGCTTGGCTGTGGAGTCTGCCAAGGAGACGCGCTACTGTGCAGTCTGCAATGACTATGCTTCAGGCTACCATTATGGAGTCTGGTCCTGCGAGGGCTGTAAGGCTTTCTTCAAGAGAAGTATTCAAGGTAACAGTGTGTTGAAAATAACAAATTCTATTTTGAGTCCTAAGATGAGAATCAATAGAGGAAGGAAGACATATTACCAGCCACTTGCACAAAATCCTAAAACCCAGTAGATCCCCTGGAGCCTTTTTAGAAATATGGAGAAGAGATAGGAGCTCAGAGAAGCTGCCATTGATTTCTTATGCTTCTTCCATTTGGCAAGATCCAGAGAGTCTTGACCACAGGATTTCAGTAACTGGGGCTTAGAGTGATTGGGGGATGGCTGGTGGAGGTGTATGTGTTGCTGGCAACTAGGCTGACAGGATACAGTGTGATATTAATTGGCTATCCATAGATACCTCTCCACTTGGGCTTGTTCCAAATGAGTTTCTGTTCTGATCTTTGCTCAAACCAATACTAACATAACCACATGTTATTTAGCTGATACTAACTTAACTTAGAAAAATTATATTTATATTTTGGTTAGGTTAGTATTAGTCTTTTAAGGCTCTTCTTCCAGCTTTGTTATCTCAATAGATAACATGACCTTTGCTAAAATGAGAAGAACCAGTACCTGGTGACTTGCCATAGGGTCAAGCACCTATCATGCTGTACTCAACGGTTACTAAGTTTCTCGCTGTCACATTTCCTTTGCCTGTGGGCTGTGGTCCTCTTCTTGTATATAGTTTACCAAATACAGCTTCTCTGATGTGCTGCCCGCTGCATTTTATCTCTACTCTAGGAGTGTTTATTTGCATTTAAAGGCTACCCTGGGGGAAGCTGTAATCACTTTTACTACATAAACTATCCATGCTAAAGATCCTTTTCTTACCAGGAACAGAGCTCTGACAGCAGTGTGGACTAACTGCATCGCTTTTTGTCTTAACAGTGGAGCATTTTTCTCTGTTCTGCCTCCTTTACCTTTCCAGCTTAAGCAAATTTAGTATATAAATACTAGGAATATTTTAGATGGAGTTCCTCATCTGCTGTAATTTCTCTGTTGCCCTGATATGGATGAAAGCTGGGGGTGGGTGGAGGAGGGATGAGAGACACTATTTTTCCTTCCATTGCTAGGAGGATGGACTTTATTTATTTATTTATTTATTTATTTATTTATTCATTTAGCTGTTCATATCTAATTGAGTAGTATGTGAGGTCAAGTTGGTCCTTTTAAAAGCATTTTTTTTTTGACAATTATTACTTTCAATATCTTATAAAATACTGTAAGACTTGGGCTTTTTTCTTGGATTTTAATAAAATTACTGATATTTTCTGATAGTTTTTGTTTTACATATATAAACAAGTATACTAATATATATATATATTTAAAAATACATATGTATGCTTGTATATTGATATATACAAAAACATGTATACATATGTGTAGATAACAATGTATTATTTAGCTGTCACTATCTTGATTTAAAAAAAATACATTTATATTTTGGTTTAGGTTAGTATAAGCCCTTTAAAGTTCTTTGCCACTGTTCATTTGATTTAATATAATCTAAAATATCTTTATGTTCTCCAAGTATTTAATCTGGTAGTGAAAAATCATTTGACAGAAGTAGGGTTGGTTGGTAGGTTCAACTATAAAATTGGCATTAACTCAAATTTAAATGAGTTTTAAGTTGTTTTAAATGAGATGAATATGAGTCAAAATTCTAGAAGAAGCCTAGAAACCAGGTAGAATTTTTAGCTCCTAGAAACATGATGTTCACTCACTCATTTAGTTGTTCATCAGTTCAAAGCACTGGGCAAGGCCTTGTAGAGACACTTGTAGGACAGACACGGTCCTTACCCTCATAGAGCTTACAAAGAAACTGGCAATTAGCTTGCAGTGTGACACATTCCAGGGTGAGGGTGAGCGCAGGTTCTTCCAGGAGTCCAAACTTCACCCGGTCCTCATGGGGGTGGAGTCAAGCTCGGAGAAGGTGTCCTGATTTAACATGAGGCCTGAAGGATGAGGCAAGTGACGAAAGTGAAGGAGGGGATTGGTGTTCAGTCACAGGAATGAGCAGAGGAACAAAGTCCAGGAGGTAAAATAGAGTTTGGGGAGTTCTGTGAATAAAAATTAACTTTTTTTTTTTTTTTTACTATTAGGTTAAACAAAGACATTTCTGGGCCATGTGTTTATTCTTACACTATGTAAAAACAAAGCCTTTATTTTCTTTTTACTTAAATGATTTGTCCATGTACTTGATTTCTTTGTGCATATAAGAGGAGCATACCAGAGCGAGTTTGATGGGTTTTAGTCCCATTTTCTCATCATAGCCTTGAAAACTTGCAACTAAAAAGTTTTTCTGAACTTCCCTGGCTCTTTATAAATTACACTGCTCCTCAAGCCTAGTTGAGGACAGTGAAGGGTCTGGCATGCAGGTAGGAAGTTCTGAAGATGTCATAGCTCTCCCTGTTTTTCTTGTTACTTAAGAAAAAAGCTTAGAAGTGAGTATCCATCAGATTACTCTAGTGCTCTAAGTGTTTCAGCTGAAGAGGTAAAGTGTTTGACTTGAAAGCATACAAATTTCCATCCACTACTTGGTGTATAAACCTGATTACTCAAGAAATTGAGTAATGGCCTCCAGTGGAACATGCTTTTTTCCACCCTTAAATGTCAAGTATACTGCTTAAGGGAGGGGGTGAAATTGGATAGTCTATGACTATATTAATCATTGCAGGTGGAGAAGCTGTGTCTGTTAAGATGTGTTGTGGGCAGAGACTCTTGGAAGAGTTATATAAGCAGATTTGGTTCAGTGGCCAGATACAACTTTGAGTATTATTCCAAGAAAAATGATTCCACTGAGAACACTGCTTATTGCATATTATTTCAAATGGTCATGAGGCACAGCGCAGGCTCAAACCTATATATATATATATATCCCTCACTATGCTGCCACGTCATATAATCTCTCTCTCTAAGATGTATATATAATAGAAGATGCTTAGATCAAACAGACATGGTTAAAACAGGTGTTGGCTGAAAGGTTAGCTAAGTTCAGGAGGACATGGTGTCAGGGTGGGGTCTGGTTATGGTTCACTGTAGTAGGGGCTTTAAGTCCAACAAAGATAAATGTCAGCCTGATCGGCTGGGCCTTCGAAGGCATCAGGGTGAGACATCCAGCACCCTGGATAGCTCCTTCAATAGCTGCCCAGGGTAAGAGAGGCTTATTCCTGAAGCAATTTAGGCCATTCAGCTGGCTTCATTCACTTTGCCGAGCGTTATTAAAAGAGAATCTAGCTCCTTTATGCTTAAGGACTCACCCTTGCTCAGCCATGATGGATTAGGTTTTACGTTTAGTTTCCCATTTCTAGTCACCTTCTGGATTGACATGCATGCTCATGAATGGAAGAGGCCAGAGGATAGGGAAAAGTGGAGGCTGCTCTGTCATTACAGAACTATTTTATCTCAGAAGTTCTTTCAGAGATATGTCTCAAAAATTGAGAGCCTGGTAATATGTGCACACAAAAATATGAAATCTTTGGTCTCCGCATTCTACATGTGCCCCCTATAGTCTGCTCTCCATTCAATGGTGGGACAGATCTGTTATTCAAGTCATAAGGTCTTGCAGTTGAAACTCTCACTGCACTTAAAGTCCAGATTGTTTTCTATGGTTTAAAATACTACACATGATCTTACATGTGCTTACTCATCCTCCTCTCCCTCCAGACACACTGGTCTTCCTCTTACCGCAGTGCACCAACCTGTTCCTTCCTTGAGACCTTCATACATGTGCTTCTCTTTTTCCTTTTGCTTGCAACACATGCATCTTGGCTGACTTCCTGTCATTCAGATCTCTGCCAAAGATCACTTACTCAGAGAAGTTTTCCCTAAAACTTCTATTTCCCTTCTATTTCATAGGAAATAAGAACTTTGGAAAAGAATTCCAGAAACATGAAGTAGCATAAACTAAGTAGTATTCAGTGGAAATTGAGTAAATTATCCGTGAGAGAAGAGGGGACTTAACTGTCCTCTCTCTGCCTCTTTATGTTCCCTCTTCAGTTCTCTACCATAAGCATTCACTAGCATCTATAATCTCTGCTCCTCTCACTTTCTCATTTTCTCTATCTAGTGTCCCAGGCAATCTCATACATATGTGTTTATGGGTTGAATTGTCTCCTTTCCCATACCCAAATATACTGAAGTCCTAACTCCCCCGGACCTCAGAATGTGGAAATTGAGTAATTGCAGATGTAATTAGCTCATATGAAGTCATAATTAAATATGACTAATAATATCCTTATATGAAGAGGAAAATTTGGGCATAGAGATTGGGAGAAGGATGCCCTAAGATGACGGAGAGGGAGACTGGAATGCTGTAGCAGGAGGCCAATGAACCCCAAGGATTGCTGGTCAACCACCAGAATCCAGAAAGAGGCAAGGAAGGGTTATTCCCTACAAGTTTTAAAGGGAGTGGGCCCTGCTGACACCTTAATTTCAAACTTTTTGCCTCTAGAACTGTGTGTCAATATTTGATGCTGTTCAAGTTACTCATTTGTGGTACTTTGTAATGACAGCCCTAGGGTGCAATATTTACGACCTAAAGTGTTAGGGCTATGCAAACATCTCTCAGATCTAGATCCTGCTCCAACCTTGCTTTTAGTGAGTCCTGTGTGTCTTCAGCGGACACTAGCTACTTCTCCTAGCTACTGCTTATATCAGTTCCCACACCATTCCTTCAGGTGCTCACACTTAACACTTGGAGTCAGTCATTTTATCTTTGCACTTTGGCAGTCCTGCTGTTTCCCATTGGTACCATTGTGTATTTCTGTTGAGTCTGTCTCTTAAATGTCTGTCTATCCAATTCCCATTCCTCAGAGTTAACCCCATTAACTTTCACCAGAATCATCCAATAATTTAATTCCCCCCTTTGTCTTCTTCTTTTAAGCCAGGGCGGGGAACATCCAGTCCGCAAAATTATTTGGTCTGGCACTGCCAAGGCATTAGGGGGGACCTAATAAAATGTTTGATCAAATATAACAGGCTAATTTTTAAGTTGATAATTTTGTATGGTGCATGAATGATA